CCGCCCCCCCCCCCCCCCGCCAACATAATTCCGCTGCTGGTATTAACAAGAAATAAATCACAACTTTGATCTGACCATCGCTCTCCCCCCGCCTCAGCTTGGAGCAGGAAATCCCGGCCCCGGCGTCGCTTACCATAGGCGCCTTGTCCCCGGGTGTACACGGGGACCAGAGAGAGGAATAGCACCCAGATAGTCTCCATCTTCAAGGCAGAAGCTTCATAGCCAGCGAAAAACAGCAGCCAAACCCCAAAAAGCCCCGGCAGCATCAGGCGGTTAGTCCGAGGGAACAGGCGAGGAAGGTTTCTCGGAAAGGCTCGCTTATGCCCACCACTTTCCACAGCAGGAATGCTCCGGCCGAGCCTTGCCCAGGCGCTGGACGCTTCAGTCCGCTTCGCCAAGTCAACTCTGCCAGCAACGCCGCTCGGGAAACTGGCGAGCTGCGGAGCGCACGGTCGATTTTCAGCACGAGAAAAGAGCCCCCGAACGGCGAGCGGTAATTGCAAATATAAAAGGTGCGAGGAGGGAGTGGGTGGGGAGAGGACGCGAGCCAGGCTCTCCCTCCACCCCCCGCGGTCGCTTCGAGGCTCCGGAGCTCCCCCCGAAAGGAAAGGCACGCAGCCTCGAGTCCAGACACAAACAGCCCCAAGCCAGACAGAGCAAGGCGATCCAGTGGCGACCGAAATCCAGAAACTTCAGCGGCTTCTTTCTCTCCCTCCCTCCGGCTGGGCCCCGATCCTTCCAAGAAGGCGGGGATCGGATTTGGTCGGCGAGAAGCGTCAAGCGCTTTCGGAACTCTCCGGCTCCCTAAACTGCCTGCCAACTTGAGAGCCAGGAAGGACGACACGCCGAGAAGAGAAGCGCGCGCGAGACTCCTCGCCCTCCCTCCTGCTAATGAGCCTCTGGCTGCAACCCCGGGAACCAGCGAGGGGGAGCGAGGAGGAGGAGGAGGAGGGGTGTGCGAGCGTGCGGGCAAAGGGGAGGGGGGAGGAAAAGAGTCGGGGATGCAGCTGCTGGCCCGATAGGTAATGCTCTCTCCTCGCTTGTCGCTCTTCGCCGCCGCACGCTGTCGGTCCTAGCCTGGCAAGGCAATTAGTTACAGGCACGGATGGCTTCGGGGTGCCTGCCTCCCCCCTTTTCCTTTTCTTAAAAGCAACCCTCCGGATCTCTTCCCAGATGCCCAGCTTCGGTCCTTCCAGCCTGGAGTTGGCCGGCGGCAGCAGTCGCAGCGCCTCACATCCTGCCCACAGCTAGCACAGCTGGCGAAACAAACGATCCGGGACCAGACAAAACAGCCCCTCGCCTTGTTTGGGCTTTCGCTCTCCCTTGACCTCCCAGCTAGCAGGTCAGATCTCTCTCTCTCTCCCCCCCTCCCTTCCACAGCCGCTCCCCCCCC